CGAAACTCACTCCTTCCCCCAAACACGCTCCCACCACCGACTCCTTCCCCCAAATCCACACCCACCACCGACTCTTTCCCCCAAATCCACCGAAATCAAGCATCACACCCTCACCATCTCCGTCAACACGTCCATATACTATTCTGGCAGCCGACGATTTTGGATCTCCGGTCGCACCACGCTCGACATTTTCCGGGTTAAAGCTCTGCTACGCTCCGGCTTCAAAACCTTACTTCCCCCTCATTCCTGGGTTAAAGCTCTACTTCTTGTGTACCTCATTTGGAGTCAAGGTATGATTTCTAATATTTACTGTTTTTTCGATTTTGGTTTATTCGATTTTCGGTGGTGAAGGCAAGCTCCCCAGCTTGAAAAAATTCTACCTTATTGAGTACTTTGAATTAATGGACTAAGAAATGATTGAACATTGTACATTTGTAGGAGGATGTTAGTACTCACTGGCTTGTTTGTTGATTGTGAAGAGAACAGACATTAGGATGTGGCAATTTTAATCGGACGCACTTCGATTTTATTTGTTTGGGTTACTAATAATCACTGGTGGGATTGTGGTATTGTTTGATATATTATTGTGCAAAAAAATTGTGGACGGTTTGTGTGAATTTATCAATTGAACTTCTCCACAGAGGCTACCTTTCATTCCAGGTAGCAACTTATATTGTTCTGCATATAAATGTATCTTTCACTTTACCCATTATTTCACTTAATGCTTTGTTCCATCGCAGAATGGGTGGAAGAAATGTTGGAATATGTCATAGTTGTAGATCTAAAAGCCACTACTTTGCCGAATGTCCACGGAAACGCCGATGTCCATCATGCAAGCATGGATTTGAGAAGTGTTTTATAGTTGAGAAGGAGACTGCAAATAAGGGGCAACTATTTGTTTGTTGTAGTGATGATTGTGGTTTTTGGGATTGGGTTGTGAAAGAAAAATCAAGCGGTGAATCTTCCAGCGTTAGCACTTCTTCAGTCAAGCAAGCAGCGGCCGAAAGAGTGGACGATCTATCAAAAATGTTCCAAACTCGCATTCGCATAAATGATGAAGTAGACCTTCAAATTTCGGTGAACGTGACGGTATGCAAGGCAAACGGCAGCACGGAGTTGAATACATGAGTTGCGGTGTCGCCTTCATTAGTAGTTATTAATCAAATGGTTACGTGACGCTTTGTATATGTAGGATGTATTATGATCGAACCTATGTAAAGTATGTTTCTAGTTCTTACTAAATCGCATCTCACGTATTGAACAAAGTTCTAATTGAACTAATCACCATGCATGCCAATACTTAGTCTGGTGAATAATCAATATATTCACCATTATAACTATAATTATAATTCAATAATTTTTCAAAACTGAATGACACTATTAATTTATCCACATGCATTTCACTTGACAATTTAATCACGTTATGAGGATAATAACTTACATAACTTTCCGGTACATGTGCCAAACAGATCACTTTTGCATAATTAAAGCAGTGATTTAGCTTTCATTGTGTGCTTAAATACCATCAAAATACATCTAGCTTCAAAATACAAATATGTAGCTTCAAAACCTCCAAAAGCACCAAAAACTACTTTTATCAAAAAGGACCAAAACTATGTTAAAGCTCTTCCTAGCCAGCTTGATCTTTTGTGTCTTCAAAACCATCTGCACACTCTTCAAACCTGTGATTACCCATTTTCTACTTCTTGTAGTGATCCGGTAACGGCGGATAGTAGCATGGCATTGCTTCACCTACAATACATGACATCATGAATATGACATTTGTGACAAATTGTGAATCTTATAAAAAATAGTAATCTATGTCTCTCTAATTCTTACCTTGTGAAGTGTATATGACATTTGGTTGTGAATTGTGAATCACAGTTGAAGATGGTAGTAGTCCTGAAATTGGGAATGGTCTTAAATTGGAATAATGTGGTAAAGGGACTGTTGTTGGGGCTGAGTACTGTAGAATTGAGAATGGTGTCTGCATGGAATACATTTGTGGTTGAGCTAATTGGTTGTCCACAGCATCACCTTGCCTCGTTCTCGGTCCCTTCTTATTGGTCGATGCCGAACTGCCCTGGATGTGGATCGAAATGAGTTAGTCTTAATTTTACGCAAAGAAATTAAAGTGTACAGTTGAACGTGTTAGACATACCTTGCCCTTCTTTGAACTCGATTCCAATGGACCCTTTCTTCGAAGCTTCTTCGGCGCCCCCTTTGTGCGCGATGATTTCGGATCATGGATAGTCGCGCCGACATTGTTTTCAGACTCTGTACACTGATCAGTATGCTCCGAGATGACATTGCTTCCACTGCATGACCTTTTTGATGTTAGAAGACGTTCACATTTAAGTTTTATCCAGTCCATAACGACACGTGCTTCACCTTCGTCATCTGCGACAAGGTCTGCCACTTGCGCGAATGCACAACACATGTCGTCGTACCTCAACTGTTCAGGAGAACTAACCAAACCATCGTAATTCACTGCCACCCTGTTGTGTGCTCTACTCACATCTTTTCTCCATCTCCGTAGTATGTACCGTTCTGGAAGTACTGTGATGTCACTACGAATCAGTACTGCAATTGCATGCCGACAAACTATCCCCCGAAACTCAAACAAATGACAGCTGCAAATAAAATCATTAGTCTGTCCATCAATGAGACGACAAAATATTTTTTCTTCCGTCGCCCTTCGAACATGACATCCTCTCGTACTTCATACAACGTACCAGAGTTCCCATTCGTTGTAGATATGATATCACAGTACACCTTCCCCGTCACCTCATCTTGAACTTCCTTAAATTTTGAGATTGTGTAAACTTTTTGAAATTGCTGCTCCATTTCGTATTGTGTTACACACGGTATCATTTGCGAGAACGACTTAAAATCAGCTTGGAACTCCTTCTCAACTTTATTACGCAAAGCTCGTTCGTACTGTTCAACGAACTGCTTCAATGAAGTCTTCGAATGGACATATCCATCGAAAAATGCATTAATACTCTCACTTCTTTGTGTGGTTGACATCCCTGCCCAGAAACTAGTCTTCAAAAAACAAGGAACCCAACGACATCTGTTCTCATATAGTCCAGACAACCAATCATTATCATGCAACGCATAAGTATCGATGAAAGCAGCCCAACCGTCTTCAAATTCTTGAACGAAATTCGAATCGTAAACCAATATGTGTATTGCTCGAAAAATCGATGCCTTATCGTTGTGGTATCCGAACTTCTCAGGCAACTTCTTCATAATGTACCACAAACACCATCTATGTCTTGAGTTTGGAAAAACGATATGAATTGCATTTTGCATTGCCTTGTCTTGATCGGTAATTATTCCAGGTGGTGCCTTACCGTTCATACACTGAAGCCATGTTCTGAACAACCATACAAAAGTATCAGTGTCTTCATTCGATACCAAACCACAACCAAGTAGTGTTGATTGTCCGTGATGATTAACGCCAACAAAAGGGGCAAAAGGCATGTCATACTTGTTTGTTAGATAGGTGGTATCAAATGTAACAACATCCCCGAACTCCTTATAGGCTTGCCTACAGCGATAATCTGCCCAAAATACATTCCTCAGCCGCGAATCATCATCTAAATCCATGCTGAAGTAAAATCCCGAGCACTGTGCTTGCATTTTTGAAAAGTATGACTGTATTGCTGCGGCATCTCCTTCTCCAAGTCTTAATCGTCTAACTTGTTCAATATAGTTTCGACAATCCTTTTCTATGCAACTCATGTTCTCATAACCACATGCTTCCACGACTACGGAATTGTAACTTTTATGCAATGGAATTCCTGCCAAATCATTCCCTTCAAGCTTTCGTTTGACATTTGCAGTCAATTCTCGATTGCATCAATACTACCTCAAATTCGAAGGACTGCATCAAATCATTCACTTGTAGCTTGCGTTTCACTTGTGCACTTAACTCCCTATTGCATCGAAATAACCTCGACTTCGACGGGCTAGTGTCATGATTGTGGTCGAGGTTGACCGTGTTAATTCTCCAAACTCCATAAATATCTGCAGATGCAGAGATTTTAGCCTTATAACCCATCTGAATTGTTGGTAGTGGCTTCAAAGAGTCGCTACTATTACAAAGTCTTCAACCTTCACGGCTACATGTTAGTGTCACATATCTCAACTCTCCATCATCTCCCCTTTTCGAGTTCCTTTTCTTAACGGGAAAACCAATGGCGTATGCATATTTCTTGTACATGTCAAACATGTCCTGCAAATCCTTAAATTGCATACCGACCTGAGGTACAATCACATTGTCTACCAATGAGGTTTGACCTTCCGCTCTGTTAACTGAATCCGTCCCCTTCTCATCATCCGATTCCACAACCAAAACATCATTACGCTCGTTTGGCACTTCATCCATAATGTTTTCCACTGCAACAACATATGTAGTAATTAAGTTATGGATAGCTTCAGTGTTTATCATTTAAAACTGTAAATAATGCAAAATGTAGTAAATAAGTTCTGGATAGCTTCAGTGATTGAGCATATATTTGGTGTTACAATGAATATGTTCTGAACGTGTAAAGTTAGATGCAAAAGAAACTTTAACTGGAATGTAAATAAAATCATCACAGAAGAAGAAGAAAGGATACTGATATAATTAACAGAGAGTTCTTCATTTGCCTTTTCACAAAATCATCAGAGTTCTTCATTTGCCTTTTCATTCCATAAAAAGGATACTCATACAATTAACAGAGAGTTACATATATACACAAAGGAATAACCGGCTGCACATGCTATTTCTTCATCATCATTGCTTGATGCTTCAGGTTGCAATAATGGCAGAAATTTACAAACAGGAAAAATTGCAAAATGTGGAGACCAAAGCACCACCATGGAAACAGTAGATTAAACACTAAACGAGTTCGAAACTGAAACCATTGTGAAAGGGGTGTTCGGAAATAACCTTCACCGAACTCCTTCAATTGCAGAAAACCGAACTCGGGAACCCAGAAATATGGCCGGAGATATCACGCCACACAAACTGCTCCAAAAAGGCTAGCGAAGCGAGTGCTTTCACGCCACACCAACCCCCCAACTTTGGGGTTAATTTAGTGCCGGGTTCTGCTCCATTTTCCGGTACAAGAGAGTGCTCTTGCGAAGAGAGTGCTTTCACGCCACAAAAAGCCCCCAACTTTGGGATTAATTTAGTGCCGGGTTCTGCTCCATTTTTCGGTACAAGAGAGTGCTCTCACGGTCTGTGGATTAATTTAGTGAAGGTTCACGCTGATTCCAGCATTTTCACGTCCTCTCACGTGCGTTTTAATTTCCCTCCAACTTGTACCCCTCGCACGTGACATTATTTTTAAATCCCTGTCAGCAGTGGGTCACTGAGCCGGGTCAACAAGCATTATTCGTAAAATATTGCCCCAAAAAAACAGGCCCCACCTGTGTGTCTTGTCTCTTGCATTTCTGTATTTTTATTTCTGTACACACAGCATACTTCAATTTTAGATATATAGCATATAGACCAAAATAAAATTTTCGGGGTGCTACACCACACGTGACCAAACACCATCCCTACAAATACAATCACGCCAACAGTAATGAAACCACCTCCTTCTAAACTCGGTTTAGAAATATATATATAGATATATTTCAAAACCTACCCTACCACCCAACGTTGTAGAACCACCATCGACAGTGGACAACGCACCATTTCTCCATCATCCATTTGCAAGAATCGAATTGTAATCCAAATCGTATTGATTTAGTGAAATTACTTGGTACTTTTTTAAAAATTATGGGACTCCATTTGCACTTTTTTTTTTCATTGCTTTCTTTTATTTTTGTTTATTAAAGAGGAAGACAAATCCTTTATTTAACGATCAAAGTGGAGGAAAGTATGAGTTCTACTGATACATACATACATACATACATACATATATTAAAGAAAATGTAAATCTTTTATGTGACAACAGACAGAGACTGGTGTTGCGTTCCATAGTATCTATAAACATCAACTTTAAAACTGTAATAAAGCCAGAATCCCCACTGCAGTGCGTAAAAAAGAATGACATGTAACAAAAGAAGTGAGACTGAAAAAGATAAAAATCATTGACGATTCTGCCGATGAGATTGTAATTTGGAAGCTAAAATATCATAGTCGGGGAGTTTTGGATGAACATGACTAGCTATCTTAGCATTGTCTTCATTATCTGAAGAAGTCTTACCCGATGTTGGTTTTGGATTTTCACTGCTCTCCAATGACTCTTTCTTTGGCTTAGGCCTAGATGATTGTTCTACTTCAGATGACTTCTGAGAGATCTTCAACTCCTGCATTGTAGTAGAAGTTGGTTTCGCTTGGGTAGGATGCTCATGAGCCATGGAAAAACTCGAGTTCATTGGCTTAGAAGACACTTTTGCAGAGGTGGGCTTAGAACTCACTTTTGCTGCAGTGGGCTGCTCGGGATTTTCACTCTTATGGGAGTTCCTTGTTTGGGACACAGATTCTTGTGGAGTTTCAGCACTGGAAGAGGTCAAGAGTTTCCTTCCGTTTCCAGATTCAGAATCAGGCCGAGTCTTAGGATAAGAAGCTTTTGTCCTCCGAGAAATTCCAGTTCGCAAATGGCTTTTCTTAGTGAGGGATTGTTTTGGAATATCATCATCCGAATCATTATTATCAGAACCAAAAACCGAAGCTGGAGCCCCAAAACCTGACTTTTTCTCAACTGCATTGCCTACAGCATTAATATATGATACTCGCCGGAGACCTGATGTCTCCTTTTGAGACATTTCTTCCTCGGAACTGTCAGTATTAATATATGATTCTTGCCGGGGACCTGACGTCTCCTTTTGAGACATTTCTTCCTCGGAACTGTCAGTATCCATATCAGGGTGGGGATGAAGTCCTCTCATGCTTTTCTTATCATCTAACGTTGTGCTTAACCTAGAACTCTCGACAGTGGGGAAAGCAGCAGCTTCAGGAACAGTCTCCTCAGCCGTTATCTTCAATGATAATGGATTATCCAATCGACTCTTCAAGTAAGGGGGAGGGTTATTACCCTTGTGACGAAATCCACCAGTGAGCTTTCCAAAATTCAGCCCAGTCCCACTCTCTGAATTCAATTCACTGCCAATATTGTCAGATTCCAATTGAAATTTTTCGGGTCCTGTAGAAGGCAGATTAGCAAAAGACTTCCCAGAACTAAATATTTTTGGAGAATCAGCATCAAATTTGGTTCCTTGGCTGTTTTCCCCATGCACTTCCTCGGACTTGACTTCATCATCAGAGAACAGTGACGGTTGCTTTCTGTCAGATCCTGAATATCCTTTCTCCTTAAATGATGATCTTACTGATTGAGGACTTTTATTTTGTCTACTTGGAGGATTTTTAGAATCTTTTGTCCCAATAAGATCAAACTTATCCATATGTTCATCACCGTCAGAATCTGGGTCATCAGAAGCATCAAAGGTAACAGGCACAAAAATATCAGAAAACTCAGGGAACGTGTGCCCTTCTGCGGAAAATAGTAATGAAGTGGAATTCTCAACTAATTTGATTGAGCTAGTTCTAGGGCTCCAAGCATCTTGTTTTATAGGAGAGTGCTTAGGTGATTTCTTGCCTGGTGATGAAAAATAAACTTCCGGCTCCAGCTCTGGCTCATCATACTTGCGACCCATATTATACCCATACTCATCACTATCTGAATCAGATTTGTCAAAAACTGCAGAAGTAAGATCATAAGGACTTGTCTGTGACACATCTTGATCAAATCTTCCCTTGCCAATACCCACCGAAGGATCCTCAGCAGTAGCATATCCAAATTTTTGGTGTTCAGAGTTTGCGAAATTGTTCTGGTCACTGAAAATGTTAGAATGGGAATGGGAAGCGATATGACTAGGTTGTTTCCTAATTCTTTCTTCTGGGAAATCCTCAGATTTCTCTTGCCACTCATTTGTACTGTCAGCATCATAGAAAGACTGTTTCTTGTCAGAATTTGCAAAAATGTTCTCATCACTGAAATTGTGTGAATGTGAACGGGAAGAGATATGACTGGGTTGTTTCCTAATCCTGTCTTCTGAGAAATTCTCAGATTTCTCTTGCCACCCATTTGCACTCTCAGCGTCATTGATAGACTGTTTCTTCATACCCATTTCAGACGACTGTTTCATCATACTCAATTCACCTTCATTGGTCTCCTTCTTATACATTTCATCCTCTACAGCTTCGATGTCATGATCCAATGAGTCATCAGTTGAAGTTTCAGATCTTAAAGAAGCGGACTGACTGAATCTCTTTGTACTACCATAACCATCCTCAGAGAATCTTCCAGCAGCTGTCTTCAAATAATTATGTCCAACCTGGTCTACGTCATCATTCTGTAGCCTACTATGTCCAGAAGACATGTTAGGAGAATAGTCCGGAAAATTTTCACTGCTCAATTGTGAAGTGGACTTTTCAGGTCTATCGTTTCTTGAAATATGAACGTCAGACTTGTGTGATTCTGTGGAATACTGTTTCATAATCCTGCCAGGGCTTGAAAGTTCTGCAGCAGCTCTAGCGGCTATACTTGCAAGTTCTGCAGAGTCAGCGGCTGCCTGAGCTGCAGAAGTAGCATCCTTGAACTCCATATTCCATCTCTGCTTAGAGAAAGCATTTTCATCCTTGTGTATTGATTGTACCCTCTCATCACGTAATGCTGGACAACAAAAATTTAATAGATGGCTTAACATTTGAAGAACAAGGAATAATTGAAGAAAAATTCATAGCTCTACTCTAATGAAATGTTACACACCTGGAGGCCTCACTTCCGATTTGAGTGTTGAGCTGAAACCAGAACTTTGGGAAGCAGGGGAGTTTTGTGTTTCCAGTGAGGATCTAGGATCCTGCTCTGAGAAGTTCAATGGTGAACTATGCATCTTATTATCAACAGGTGGAGATTGGCTATGTGGAGCTTCAAAACGAGGAGGTTCACCATATATTTTACTGTTTTTTTCAAATGTACTTGGTCCATTCTGATTAATTTATAAATCAAGGTAAATTAGAAAATGCATTAGAAAATCGTTGTGTGTCATAGCATAATGTTAAGATTGTCACAGAACGTATAGAATCCTGAAAGCAACTAAACCATACCAGCAAGTCACTGGGAGGCGTCCCATCTTTCTCTCCAAATGAATTAGGATCCCATTTCACGTTGTGCTCCTCTGCAATTGCACTCAATATTTTAATTTTGGTCTGTCCATCAGGTGCCATTGCAGATAACTTCTCAACCAACTGAAATATTATAGCACAAGGAAATAATCAGAGAAATGCTGCTCATCTTAACAAAAAGCATACAGTTAGCTTCCTTGTACGCTGATTTTCAGTAAAAAAACCACATAATTAAGTGCCTAAGCATACCATGCGGCTTACACCACACTCTGGACGAAGCTCTATGGCTGCTGTGGTGAAATCTTTTCCATATTTTGCTGTAAAATGCTTCCGTAAATCTAGAAGTTCAGGTACATCTCCACATCTTGGTGATGCAAATATTAAACTAGTAATTGCTTCCTTCAGGTCGATGGGGCAGTTCCTGTAGGAAAATTGGGCAATACATTCCACATGTAGCATTAAAAACAGTTGAGTATGACTCAACACCATAACTTTCAGGTCGATGGGGCAGTTCCTGCAGGAAAATTGGGCAATAAATTCCACATGTAGCATTAAAAACAGTTGAGTATGACTCAACACCATAACTTAATCAAGAAGAATATTTGATGCATGGAACAGTTTTTCTATTAACGAAATATTAAAAATCTTGACATTAGAAGAGAAACTCTTAAAAGTTTCAAGAGACTGCCACCTGTAGGCAACAACTTCATTTTTAGACAACACACAAAAATGTATGAAAAGGTGCATATAAAATTACTCTAGCTATGCATGCAAGCAATATGATGTAGTACATAATCATGATTAGTAGTTTCCTACTACAATTGTGATTTATCTTTTCTAATTCTAATATGTTTTATTTTTTTATTCTTATTTCTTGTTTAGATATGATTTCTTTTATTTATTGATTAGAATAGAATTTTCAATTAGATTAGAATTTTATTAGTTTCTTTATTTTAGTTTCCTTTTATTAATAGGACCATGAAATAATTTTGCCTATAAATATAGGAGTATTGTACACTTTTCAACAACAATCAATTATTATTCAATATATACTAGACATGATTGTTCACATATCATTCTTATTTATTACATAATTCTTATTATAAGAATTTCATAAATGCTTCCACACCAAAATTGGTATCAGAGTAAGGAAATTGCCTCAATCTGATGGCTGACTATGGTTCTGGTGGCAGTCGAACCGTCAACGACGAACGGAGGCTCGACAAACTCGAACAACAAATCGTGGAGATCGACAAAACCCTTCACAACATCACGCAGATTTTGGCTGCGTTGAGTTTTGAAAGGAATCGCAAGCTCATGGAGAAGCAAGCTGACAAGAATTTGCAAACCTTAACTGTTATGAATGTTGGTTGTTTCAACAAGCATAGAACACGGCAACATGTGGCAAGAGAACTTCCTCGAGTCCCAGCCAAGTTCGAATACACACAAGTTATCAAGAAAATTCTTTACTTCAACAAAACTCGAGGACGAGTTTTTTTTAAGTAGGAGAGATTGATGTAGTACATAATCATGATTAGTAGTTTTCTACTACAATTGTGATTTATCTTTTCTAATTCTAATATTTTTATTTTTTTATTATTATTTCTTGTTTAGATATGATTTATTTTATTTATTGATTAGAATAGGATTTTCAATTAGATTAGGATTTTATTAGTTTTCTTATTTTAGTTTCCTTTTATTAATATAATTAAGAAATAATTTTATCTATAAATATAGGAGTATTGAACACTTTTCAACAACAATCAATTATTATTCAATATATACTAGACATGATTGTTCACATATCATTCTTATTTATTATATAATTCTTATTATAAGAATTTCATAAACACTTCCGCACCACGATGCCACCTGAATTGCAAAAAGTGCTTTAGCGACATAATTATAATCTACGTCAATGTACCCATCGACTACCTATCATCGATGGACTCCGGTCACTCCACATCAACAAAATTTAGTTAATTCGTGTTCTTCAATATATCATTACTCTCAATGGTTAAGATGTTATTGGCTGTGAACCAATTGGCTTATCTACACATAAGCATGCAAAGAATTGTGGTTCTACAAGTACTATGTGACTGCAGTAGATGTGCATCAGAAAATTTAGATTCAATTATCAATCAAATGACTAGCCATGTAATCACATATTAGTCATAACAAAACCAAGTTATGAGAATAATATAACACAAATATGTTGGTGCAATCACAAATGGTAGTAAATGAGAGTAGTGGAACCGAAATGGAGTAGAGCAAAAAATTATAATGTAACACTCCAAAATAGCTTACAAGTTCTCAAAAAAACATGTCAAGTACCATTCAAAAAGATAAACAAAAGGAGGACAAACACGAACCCAAATACTAAACAAGCAACACAATACAAGGTTTTTGGAGTGATAGCCGATGTGATAGCATAGAGTGCATATTTTAAAGGAAATATGTTTTGAAGCCAACCCAAATAAGCAGATAAGAAAATGTTGAATATGCCAAGTGTTATTACATATTTCAAGAGAACATTCTCATCTCTTAGCAATAAAAAAGAGGAATTAAGATCTGAGACCTAATTCACACATAATTTAGAAATGACACTTTTAAAATTGAAAGTCCTCTATCTTCCCCTTTTTGGTCAATGATTGATGCTCTCCATCTCCCTATCTTAATTTTAGCTGTATAAAAGGCAGGTATGTTGGAAACCAAATAATAGAAGTCGTAAAGCCAAAAATTAAGCCAACAATATTGTTTCATGATATTTACCACATGGTAATATATGAACAAAGAAACTGCTTTCAATATAGAAATAGCTGTGTTAGCTGATGATGTTTGTATTATTGCTGTAACATTAGATAACCTTCGTGTTCTGCACCTATGATGCACGAACTAGGGTACGGGTACGTATCTAAGTGTCGATTCTTTTATTTTCTAAAATGTAGGATACGGGAACATGGCTAAAAAGAGTTCAAATTTCGGGCACGTATACGTGGGTACGTCTTTCAAACTTCGATTTTTTTAACCCAAAAATTCATATGTAAAAAGTTAAATAATATTGAATTGAAAAATTGTTAAATTGAATAAGTAATTTTATTGGGGGTTATATTACAATTAAAAATACTCAAGGGTTAGAGATGAATAAAATAGAAATTTAGGGATTTAGTTTTCAATTATTGGAAGTAGTTAACTCTTATATTATATGAAGGTTTGGGGACTTACTTTGCAAATTGGGGTTAGTGGACCACAAAACCAATTAAATTCTATCAATTTATCACTACTTAAATTAGTTTATATAAAGGAAACTTATGCTTTGTAGTAGTTAGATTTTGATATTGAATAAACTCATTTTCTCCCTGTAAATTCTTTCTATTATATCCCTCTTATTCTCTTTCTCCTCTCCCTTCCACTTTCTTTCTTAATCTTGTTCTTGTTTGGTTTTGATTTACGTCAGCAATATTTGTAAAATGGATGTTAAATGAGCATTCTGAAGTAACTTACTTTTGTGACTCAATGATTGGCATGCGAGCAACAGTAAGTTCACAGTATATCTCTATAAGATCATATGCTGCTATCATCTTCTCTTCCCTAATTACATGTTCAACCTGAAAAGTTCATAATAAGAGAGAAATGAGAATATGTTACGAAAAAGTAACTTAAAAATTTATAACCAATGACCACAGCGCAAAAGCTAACAATTAGCTTCACTGATCAGTATGATCAAGACATCAGCATGTATGAATATGAGTTGTTGGGTTTCATCATTGCTCGTTTCGGACATTTGGAAGCAAAACATTCAATGTCAAAAATAATAATAATAATAATAATAATAATAATAATAATAATAATAATAATAATAATAATAATAATAAATAAGTAAGTAAGAATCTAGCTTTGATGACATGTCATAAAGAATTTATAATTCTACAACCACCGCCATGGCCTCTGTAATAATATAAACATTCAGGATGAAACATCATAAAACCATGGCCTTGCACAAACACGCGCACAGGAGGTGCAGAAACCCAAGATTTTCTTGTTACTGTAGCAAGGTAATTGATATATGCGTTTCCACAAAGGATTACCACTCCATATGGTAAGGATGCTAAAGCATTTTAGAAAGAGTTAATTCCTATTTCTGCCCAGCTAAAAGCAAGGTGAAATTGGAAGGGGTGACACTACAAATGTCAAATCTATGCTGAGATAACATCCAAGTCTGAATATTAAGTTTAATAGCTAGGCTAAAATCAATACTTCCACTTTGATCTTCGTAAAAGGGGAAAAATCAAACAGACACGAAAAACTGAAGAATCCCAGCACCGGAGACACTTGTCATAATATAAAATTCTGTTTGCTGACCGTCATAGTTAGCAATAACATAATATTAATTACAGAAGAGAACAGTTTTGATGGTTCCACCATAAATGGCTGCCAATAACTCTCGTTGCACGTTAAGCCAACAAATTTTAGAACATGATGGAAAAACACAAATCATATAGATATGGCTACGTAAATTACTAATGCATATGAAAACAAACACCATGAACTGAAAAATAGATCTTCAAAATTGGGTTTAAATCCTCGTAGACAACCAAGCAAGCAGTAACAGAAATAAAGGTCTTCTAGAATACTCCAAATACCCTGTTTTTTGTTTTTGCCCATTAGCATTGATTGACGTAAGAACTCTTCAATCCAAACCCCTCCTCTTACCCATCCCCCAGAAGGGAAATAAATGCCCCCCATCCACGAGATTTCCCTTCAAGGCATGCTCCAAAATCTATAAGAGATTAGTTTTGAAATGAGTTTGAATTCATGAATAATTAATATACCAAGGATAATAGAAGAAACTGGATCCAGTCGTGATATCCATTGCTGAGATTACATTAATTACAGCAACCCTCTTATTATGTCTTCATAGTTCATACTGTACATTTTGATGACAGAAATATAAATTTTCTTCTACTTCTGGCCATGATCTTAAGGTAATTACTTATGTTGTTAACAAAAAAGCAAAATAATATTGAAGAAACTGTCCCCGGCTAAACTGAAGGAACCACGGAAGTTTAGGGGTAAAATTCAACAAGCAAATCGGTGAAAACATTTTTTTTTTCTCATTTGTACTAGATAAATCGTTACCCTAATTCGAGCAGTCTGGACGTTGCCAGACTCGAGCAACTGCGCCAATTCCCTCTTCATCTGTTTCACTAGCACTTCCTTCTTATTCCTCAGTAGCTTCAGCCTTGAAGCTGCCAGCTTCAACGAGATCTTGCTGCATCCGGTTTCAATTTACTCATTCAATAATTCAACAACAAAAAGACAAAATATAATCTCAAATAGCTAATACAAACATAGATGTAAGAATTAAGATTGCATTATACAGCAAAACCCAAAAATCATATACTTTATTAGTCAATTAATTTTACCATTTGGCGGGATTGAAGCTCCTGGAAAGCACGCCTTTAGAATTCTGCAGCAACTTTGATTTCTTCATTTTCTTTTCATTCAATGGAACTCCAATTGAAACCTTAATATCCGAAGCTGCAAAAAAGCATTAGAATTCAGGCCTTTGACATACAGAAATTGCAATTTCTTGATTAGAATAATGTTTATCTATACCGTGTGATTGAATTTTTGATCGGTGAGAATTTAGATGTTTCCTAGAGAATTGAAAATGATTGGGAATGAGATTTTTTAACAAAGAGAAGACTTGAGGACTAGGAAAAAATAATAGATAATTTTTTATTTTTTACTCCACCTTTTCGGCTCTGTTTTGACACATTATTTTTTTTCATTCTCATTTTTCTACTCATTTTTAATCACACATTTTTCAATAAAATAATATTTTTCATCATATCAATAACTTTTTTTTTTATTTTTCAACCACACATTCCTCATCATATCAACAATAAAAATACATTCTTTTTCCAAGAATGTGCACCAAACGAGAGCTTATTCAAAGTAATATAACCATCCAAAATAATATAACGAAATAACAAAGAAATGGGCAACCGTGACGAGGTTGACGTTTCTAATGGTTGGACCGAATTGCCCCTTTCGTTGTCTTAATTTCTCCGTTGACATCTTAGTTATTTTCTTAAGAGGTTTGATCTGTTAAACCTTAACAGCGTGTTTTGGTTTGGGCGCATTTTCTTAAAATGGATTGGGACCCATTTTTGCATGGACAGAGTCAGACGAGGATAAACTTTTTTTTTTTTTTTTTTGCATAGAACTAGAAAAAAAAATTCCATAAAAAAATTGGCTGCCATCGTCTCTCGCCCTTGGGTTCTCTGGTTTTTCAATTAAATTGATCGGTCATACATTGATTCTTATAATACAACATGTAACATGTTTTACGTGATAATGAACTCATCGATGGGAATCCTCGAACGTCTGTGTAGGTTGAAAAACAACGTTCATCATAATACGATGCATGTAGGTGTGAAGAGTTTCCTTATTTAAATGTGTCCAAATCTAGTTATCTACAATTCTAAAACAACAAACAAGTAAATGAAGTAGTGTAAATACATTTTATAAGAAATTACCCGATGAAGGAAGCTAGCTCTCTATTACATAAAAATTGAGAAAAGTAGAAAAACTTATGTGTATAACCTTCGAGTTAAACTAGAGTAGAGTTAATGGGCAGACGTAGGAGTATATATATTAACATATTCGTGTGAAGTGAGACTAAGAGATCTTTATATAAGCAATAAATACGTACGTGGATTTTAACACCGTGTTTGGTGTAATTCAAATTTGTAAGTCCTACTCATTATACGTTTCCAACTGTAGACACAAAATTACTTGGATGGTAAATGAGAAGAGTAAATAGTCTCCACTCTCCAACATTTATCTAATTCAAAATTTGTTACATCTTAAAGCCAAAACTAATTATATTCTTAATTTCATTTTGTTTCCTTTAATAATCTCTGCTTCAAAACATGTCACATGTCACATATGGTACACGTTAGTTACATGCATGCTATTGTGTACTAATTAGTAATTAATTCCTTTTGTTAAATTTTAAGTTAAAAGTTTTAAAATTAGCTCATTTAATTCTTTTTTTTAAACTAACAATTATCAAAAATTAGCAATTCTTTAATAAACCTCGTTTTTATTTGTCCTTAGATCTAAATTTTTGTTTGAACTTATTTTTGGCTGATACGTGACTTAGGTTTAGAGGGCCAAATTATATTTAGTTTTTTTTCTATTCTGAGAATTAACTTTTTTATTCAAAAGCTTTTGTTAAAGATTAATTTCAAAATGGCAAACATGAAACATATCATTCTTAGAAACTTGGAGGGGGTAAGCCTATGTTCTACAAAAATAAATATTTAATTTGGGAACTTTCACGGATATAATAAAAATTCAATAATCTCACTTACTCTTAAAACATTTTTATATTCTCAAATTACTGTTTTAATTTTTTTATATATTTTTATTTTGTTACAATAAATTTTGTAAAAGTTTTACATTTTGTAAAATTATGTTACTCGGCACCATTATGTTTCCTCCATAGTCGTCATCAGTCATAACACAATGTATCATACATATTTTGCCGCCTATTTTAACCATCGCCAAGCCGGGGCGAAGCTACATAAACCCGCATTGGACTTTTGGCTTGACACAGAAAACTCCAATGTGCCTGCACTAGACCAAGAAGAGAAGAATTTACAAGCTGGAACTCTCCATTGTTGTAGACTTGCAGTCATTGGGAAGCTTGAGCCCGATGGATGATTAGGGAAGATGGTTTGTTGGATCTGGGCCATTTTTTTTTATAGTTGTGGACCTTTTGTTTTGGGCTTTTTTAACATTAGGCCCACTATCCACTGCTGCTTTG